TTCCTCACCGATTCTGGCTAATTGTGGTCAAGCTAACAGTCAAGTCTAAAAGGAAATAGAAAGAAAAGTTTATTCCAAGTGCAATTATAATATGTCTGTTACTATTCTCTCTACAAATGCAAGACAGATTCTTCCTGACTCCAATACTAATCCCTTGCAAAATAACACACCTCTGAGGTTAGTTACTGCAGTAGGGCGTTGGTCATTATATTCCCTTTCTCAAAACGTAAAGTATAATAGGATTAATTTTTACGCAGAGTAAATAGTGTTCAATGCAGCTGTGTGAAGACAGGATTCAACTAGTGACTTTTTTTTGATAGATCGATCAATCAATCAATCAATCAATCAATCAATCAATAAATAAATAAATAAATAAAGGCTTGTAAAGAGGAACATATTGACCCTGGCAAAGATAAATCAAACAGACCAACATATCCATTCAGTTAATCAATGCCAGAGAGGTCAGACTAAACAGCAGAACAGTAACTACAGGCAGGAAATGTGGACTTCTTCCCAGAAAACACTCTTCCTACCTCCCCCAGCATTTGAATTTTGACACAACTCATGAAAGTTGAGGCGAGAATGCTGCAACATCTTGAAATAATCAGGCACCAACAGTGGAGACAATAAAACCTTTGAAATCATACATTCACTGGTATCCTGAAGCTTGTAAGCCACAAACTCCCATTGTTTATGCTGATATGTCACTTGGTTAATTTAAACATTACACCAACATACAGAAAGTTATTTTGATTAAAACAAGAATCCATTGATTTTACTAGTCAAAAAAAAAACTCAATACATGATAATCATTTAAGTCCCATTTCAAGGCTATAATCAATGAAAAAAAAATCAAACCAAGATCTGAATCCCATTTACGTTTACAAACAGACTCTTAAATAACAGGTTCCCCACCCTGCATTCATTTCACAAAAGCGAAAGTTTAATAATAACAGCCAACATTTTTCCTAGTGCCTCACACTACTAGTCAAATATAAAAATTAGAAGCAGAAGCAGACCATTTGGGCCATTAAACCTACTCTCCAATTCAATATGATCTTGGCCAATCTGTTTGTTTCATATTCCACAATTCAATTTACCCCAATAAGAATTCATTTTTTAAACAAATCTTCATTGTTTGAAAACAAGGTGCTGCACTTACAAACTATACATTGTCTGTTTACTTTTACAAACAATTTTCTTTCAGAAGAAAATTAATGCAATTCTATGTTTGCATGATTAAGTTAATGTTTTTATCTTTATATTTTACAACATAAAGAGAAAATAATTGTGAAATATTGGCTGAAGGATTTCATTTTGCCCAATATGAAGTGAACAGTCCACTCAATGAAACTCTGACCAATACATAAATCTCCAGTTTCTATTGAACAATTAGAACACAAGAAATCATGTATGAATGTTATTCATTAAATTTTGAAAGATTAAAAATTCTGTCCTACTTTTCCAGCTCATTCAAACCCCTCATTGACCCCAATACCCAACAATAGAGAAAAACTCTATTCCAAGCTTTGAGACTTGCCAAGAAATTATTCAAGACATTTGCTTCAAAGACTGTTAAATCCTATCATGCCTTCCATATTGTCTGTACAACCTGTCTGAAACTAAGTCAATATTGTCTGTTGTATACCACCCATATATTTCACTCGTTTCTTTGCCAATTGGCCTGAATCTGTTTTCTCTAGTTACCAATCCCCCTGTCAATGGAAACTGTTTCTCTTTATCTGCCAAAGCCATTCACAATTTGGGCACCTCTAAATCTTTCCTGAACCTTCTCTGCTGCAAGGGGAACAGTTCAGGCTACTCCAGTCTTTCCAAATAACTGAAAGGGGAGGCAATGGCCTAATGGTATCATTGCTGGACTGTTAATCCAGATCCACCAATTTAGCTAACTTGACATTTTTGAACAAAACACTGCATAATTGAGAAGACACCGGTTTTATCTAATCTCAGGGATTTTGCTCCATTGAAGTTTTAAGTGTAGAATTTTACAGCACAATGACAACCACTCAGCCCAACTGGTATTTCTGCTTGTTATGAACCTTCCACCGTTCCTCTTCAACTCAGCCCATCAGCCTGTCAAACGTTTATCCAGCTTTGTCTCATAGACAATACACGGAGTTTAGTTTCAAACATTCCAGGCTTAATCCCTCTTCTGTTGGTTTGAGGGCAGGTGATGGCCTAGTGATATTATCGCAGGTCTGTTAATCATAAAACCCAGGTAATGTTCTGGGGACATTCCTGGTTTGAATTTTGCCACAGCAGATGGTGGATTATGAATCCAAGAAAAATCTGGAACTAAGGGTCTAATGATGGCCCTGAATCCATTGCTGATTGTTGGAGAAAACCCATCCGGTTCACTCATATCCTTCAAGGAGAGAAACAGCCATCCCTATCTGCTCTGGCCTATGTTTGACTCCAGACCCACAGCAACGTGGTTGACTTTTAACTGCCCTCTGGGCAATTAGGGATGGGCAATAAATGCTCTTCACGAAATTTGGCTCTCTGTTGCAAATGAAAACACATCTGTGTTTGGTAATCTCCCAATCACCCTTAGTCGTACATAATCTTGAAGGAAGTAATAATTGTTTTGAGTTATTTTATTCATCCACAGGATGAGGGCGTTGCTGGTTAGGCCAGCATTTATTGCCCATCCCTAATTGCCCAGAGGGCAGTTAGGAGTCAACCACATTGCTGTAGGTCTGGAGTCATATGTAGGCCAGACCAGGTAAGGATGGCAGTTTCTTTCCCTAAAGGACGTTAGTTAACCAGATGGGTTTTTCCTGACAACTGATTCATGGTCATTGTTAGACTCTTAATTCCAGATATTTATTGTATTCAAATTCTACCATTTGCTGGATTCGAACACAGGTGCCTTGAACATTACATGAGTCTCTGGATTAACAGTCCAGCAATAATAGCATTAGGCCATTGCCTCCCCCTTCAGTCATGTGGAAAGACTGGAGTAGTCTGAACTGTTCCCCTTGCAGCAGAGAAGGTTCAGGAAAGATTTAGAGGTGCCCAAATTGTCAACGGCTTTGGCAGATAATGAGAAACAGTTTCCATTGGCAGGGGGAATTGGTAACTAGAGAAAACAGATTCAAGCCAATTGGCAAAGAAATGAACAAAATAGTTTTATGAAATACATTTAATACTTTAGTCATGGAATTGGAAAAGTACTTTAAAAGAAAGATTTTGCAGGGTTGCTGGGAAAAGAACAGGGCGATGGTGATTCTTTTGATCAAGTAAATAAAGACAGCTGCTCAGTATTCACTTTTATATGCTCCCCCAATTCTCACCACATCTCCAAGCCTGTACCGCTCACTTACCCCTCAAACAAGGGGGACAGACATTTTAAAAAACCTGTAACAATGCAATTCTGAATTAGCCACCAGTGACAGAAACTGGGCCAATCAGCTGTGAACCTGATCTGGCTTTGCTGAAAAGATGCTCCACATTAGAATAGAATGCCCACAGAGTAGAAGGAGGCCATTTGGCCCATCCCACCCAGACCTATCCCCCTAGCCACAATTCCCACACCTAGCTTGCAAATCCTTGAACACTATGGCCAATCACCCAACCTGCACATCTTTGGACTGTGGGTGGAATCAAACCCAGGTCCCTAGCACTGCAAGGCAAGCAGCGTTAACCACTGAGCCACTGTGCGGCTGTGCCTAGACAGCACTCAGTGGAGACTTGGAATTTCTTGCAGGTCCCACAAAAGAAGGGTGGTATGTTATTAAACTCTATATAGTCCTGTGTGTCAGTGCAGCACTGGACATTCAAGATTTTTATGTTCAGCTAAGTTAAAGCAATTCTTTCGGGGAGAATTCAAAACTAGGGGGGGTCATAAGTGTATAATAATTATTGATAAATCCTATACGGAATTCAGAAGAAACCTCTTTACTCAGAATGGGGGGAGTGTGGGACCTGTTCTCACATGGCTGTTCAGCACAGATACATGTAAGGGGATACTGTATATACATAAGGGAGAAAGGAACTGAGGGTTATATTGATAAACTGAGATGAAGAAGTGGGGAAGGGGGCCTTGCGTAAAGGTTAAATACTAGCACAGACCTAACGGATTGAATGGTCTGTTTCTGTGTTGTAAAAATAGACAAAAACAGCACAGGACTTGAAGCACAAACCACAGTGTCAGAAACACAGTGCCATTTGCAGAACCCAACCCAACTCCCTTCACTTGGCAAAACAGTTACGGACACAATTTTTTTCAGAACGTTCAGGAAACAGGTGAGAAAACAAACCACACTAAACATTAAACCAGGAGTTCAGCGGGTATGACTAAAGCTGCGCCGAAGGTCACCGGTCTTTGAAAGTTAACTTTCATGAAAATGTTACTGGAGTGGAGCAGACTCATGGGATTATATCCTGTCCTTTTCTTTGAAGCTGCGCTAGCTTTTGCCCCTTTCTTCCCAGTGGAGCTCGGGCTTCCTGTGGTCTCCACATTGCAATTCAACCAAAAAAAATATACTTCTCCACAACACCTTTCTTCGATTAGCGGCAGAACTTGGCTGGGCTGTAACAGAGCCCTCTTTAAAATTCTCCCATCAACAGAATCATCCAACATAAAAGGAGGACATTCACTCCCATCCAGCCTGTACTAGCTCTTTGAAAGAACTACTGAAATATTCGCAGCTCCTTACAGTCTCCTCATAACGCCAAAATTGTCCTCCATTACAAACTTGTATTCAATTCACTTTTGAATCTGTTTTTATTGTCCTTTCAGGAAGCAATGCAAGAGGTCAACTCTTAAAATAAACAAAATTGACATGTTAAGCACAAATCAGCCACTTTCTACCATAATGCATCAACCCAATCCCAAATGGTCATTACGTCCAAGACTGGGTTGGAAAACAAGATGGAGAGATATATTACACATGGCAATAGGCGTTCTTCACGAGGGAGATCAATTTGTGATACGGCTGCCCCGTGTGTATTCGATTTAGAAATCCTGCCATTACCGGAAGATGGAGCTTTACCAAATCTCCTGATGGTAGAGTCTATCTTCTTTTGCCAACAGTGGTTTGGAGGGCGTATAATGATGCCCAGCGCACTTCGTAGAGAAAACATGAACACCAAAGGACTAGCAATCAATGTGAACTGCAAATATTGAGAAAATAAGTTGAAAATTAGCAGTAAATAAAATCAATGTTACATCAACCATGATCCTACTGAATGGCACAGCAGGCTTAAGGGGCTGAATGGCCTATTCTTGCTCCGAATTCTTATGGTCTTGTATATGTTTTATCTTAATATTAAATTATTTAAACAGAGTGGTGGAGGTACTCTCGCAACATTGAAGAAGCATCTGGATGAGCACCTAAAATGTTGTAGGCTATGGACCAAGCTCTGCAGCTTATGTGAGACAATATACACATTGCCCCACCAGGTCAAATATGCTGTTGGGAAGCAAACCTCACATCATGGCTAGCAGTGCTGACCATCTATAAACATTACGATATCTTTGTGATTAGGAATTTGCAAAACAAATCAAGGTACAAGCAAATAACAGCTATGCAGGTAAATGGGATTAGTGTAGTTTGGTGTTTGTTGGTCAGTATCGACTTGGTGGGCTGAAGAGCCTGTTTCCATGCCGTATGTCTCTATGATTCTATATTAAAAAGTTACAGCACTCAAAACACTCTTTAAAATGGCTAGTGAATATGAAGCAAATTTGAGAAGTTTAAATAAAAATTAAATGACATGCCCTACACAGCAATAAAACATAGTAAAAAACAGTAGCTTCTGTACAATAGGTTATCAGAATTCATGATCTGATCTTTGGGGACAAAGAATTTTCTTGCAGTCCCCTTGTCTGAGTTTAGCCAGCAACTCAGACCAGCGAGATGAAGTTGCATCTGTGGTGTAATATTCTTGGTATTAATGCGCCGTCAAGGCAAATTTGCAAAGCCTGCTGAGGGAAGAAAAACATTATGTTATTTTAATAAACATCTTACTTTGGCTTCATCTTGCCGTGAGGCTGCTGGAGAGAGTGAGATGCACGCTGTTATGTTATGTTTTGTGGTTAGTGTACTGTTAAACGAGACATGTCCACTACATTACTGCATCATAGGGCCAGAGGTGGGTCCTCATCAGGCAACTCTCACAGAAAGAGGTAGCTCTCATACAGCTGTTTACTCAGATGGAAGATAGACCAGAAGAGGAGGAGGGACACCCAGGAAACAGCTCCCTGATTAGAGAATAGGATGCTGCCTTCACAACTTTAATAAGGCCAACAAATTCATCACCCACAGCCTATTTGTCCTCTGGTACCAATGAATCATTCCCAGTTTTCCTGTTTGTAGATATTTTTAATCAACCTGAAAAGGCATGTTATGATACACCTCTGGAGCAGGTAAGACTTGAACCTGGGCCTTCTAGCTCTGAGATAGGGGCCCTACCACTGAACCACAAGAGCTCTGTTGTTACTTTAACTAATGTATCATCTAAACAGCTGCTTCACAAACTCATTAAACTGTCAAAAAATTGCTACAAATTATTGACTACCTACATTAGGTAACTGTGTTCAGAAACTAGCAAAAATTAACTATCATAGTGAGCAACCTGATGGTATAAAGACCTCAGATTCCATTTTAATTTGGATCATTTGAGATACACTATCAAAAGCATACAGCCCTGTTGTACTCAAGTAACTGTATATTGTCCAGGGCAATGCTGTATCTAGTAGCCAGTTCTAATAAACATCTGTTGGATCCTTCAATATCATCTTATCACCTCTTCAGCTCTGATGAAGAGTCATCTAGACTCGAAACGTTAGCTTGTTCTCTCCATGGTAGCCGTCTGACTCGCTGTGATCTCCAGCATTTGTTGTTTTCAGTATAGATTCTAACATCTGCAGTAATCTGCTCCTGCTGTCACCTTATCAATGCCTCATTTCTTATGTGAGACAATATACACATTGCCCCACCAAGTCAAATATGCTGTTGGGAAGCAAACCCCACATCATGGCTAGCAGTGCTGACCATCTATAAACATTACGATATCTTTGTGATTAGGAATTTGCAAAACAAATCAAGGTACAAGCAAATAACAGCTTTGGACATCAGACAATTTAAACAACCAGAAGCACCAGTTTCTGAGATTACAGATAGTTGCACTGATGTATCAGTAGGACACTGACCATCAAGATGATGGACAGGTTTTGAAATAACTGCACAGAGGCCAGTATCCTGTCACCAAGTCACCCTTTTTTACCTGCACACTGCCTGTGACCAACCAGCTCAGAGTCAGTCTCCTGAACTGAGGAGATTCTAAATCCCCTGTTTATATTGGTCAGCCACGGCTCTCTTGATTGGCCCAGGTTAACAACCCCCGTCAAGGATCTCGTAGACAACAAGATCCAACTGGTTCCAATCACTACAAGTTTGTTCAATACGAAATAATTTTCTAAGATCGCCTTACTTAAACAAAAAAGAAAATAATGATAAGGCTGCAACTCAAAGCTAGAAGTTGTGGGCTAGTACACACTGTTCCTGGCAGTTAATACAAAGTAACAGTGTCTTAACACCTGAACAATGTGTGTTATTAAGGCAGCAGCAGTATTGAAGGGAATAAAAACAGTACAATAGCAGTTTAACAGTTTACAATGACATAAAGTCCGGGGCACACAACTTAAGGGGGGCAGAGTGGAGTTAAGGCAGAATCACGGACCTTATTATGGATTTGGCAACATTGTTTACTGAATTACAGCTGTGCAAATAAAAACGCAGTTCAATTTTACAGATCAAGCGACTGATTTGGCAAGCCGTACCTTTAGTCCCTTCACTCAAGACATTTAAGACTCTAGGATAAAGTCTATCAATAATCTCAGCACCTGACAGTCTGCAGCTCCAACAATTTATTAAGTCTCACTTCTCTGGGTGATTGTAATTCCACCTAAGTTCCTCCTTTCCATTTCCGGCTTCATAGCTGCTTCTGGAGTCTTACTTGCATCCACCATTGTGAAGACTGATGCAAAATACCTGTTCAACAACCATCTCCTTGTTTTCCATTATTAATTCTCCAGATTCATTTTCTACAGGACTAACACTCACTTCATTAACTTTTTTCTTAAAAAAAAACAATTTGTACAAACTCTTACAATCTATTTTTATATTTCTAGCTAGTACTCTGGCATTATCTGATTTTTTTCTTTTTGTACATTCTTTGCATGTTTTCATACCAAATTGCTTGAATTGAATTAGCTTTATTGTCATATGTACTCAAATGTTTGAGTAAAGTGAAACGTTTACAAGTTGCCACTTACAGCGCCATCTTAAGTACAAGGTACCTAGGTACAGATTCTTCAATACTTTTCTAATATTTTTTCCTGTGAACTTGTAAAGAAATAAAAGGTCCTAGCCTAGACACCTCTGTACCTGTGAATGTTGTAGTTGTACATAATAGCCAGTTGTAAAAATAACATCTGTAGGATCCTTCAATACCACATAATTCACACCTAGTTTCTTAAGTTATGAGGGATAACATATGCATTGTCACATCATGTCAAATTCTCTGTTGGAGGCAAAATCCTGCACGTGATATTGCATCATTTCCTAGGATGATGCACACACTGTCATTAGGATATCACACAGTCAAGGTTAACATTTATGCTATAGGTTGTCTCATCTTAATTCCACTCCAGAGACGTGAGCATCAGATCTAGGCAAAAGAACGACTACAATACCGAGAGACTGCTGCACTGTCGGGTGTCCCAATTTTCAAATGGGATGCTAAACCGATGTCCCATAATTTTCTCAATTGTTCACTGAATACTAGAGTCACTAGTACAGCCAATGTTTATTCACTATCTATAGTTGTCCTGGAGAAGGCAGCAATAGTGAGCTACCTTCTGGAATTGCTGCAGTCTGCATGGTGGCTGTATGCCAGCCGTGCTGATTGGGAATGTGTATCTGACCTCTCAGCTGGGCATAAAGCTTCCCAAGGCACAATTTCAAGGAAATTAGGAATCTTGTTCACTATTTATCATGCAACCAGATTATGTGGTCATGATCTATTTGCTGTTTGGAGAACCTTACTGTACACAAGCTGGCCTTTGCTTTTCCTTCCTAACAAGTTGTAACAGCTGCTACATCTCAGTTGGCTGTGAAGCACTTTGGGTCATTATCAAAGAGTCATAGAGCACGGAAACTCTTCGGTCCAACTAGTTCATGCTGACCACGTTCCCAAACTAAACTAGTCCAACCTGCCTATGTTTGGCCCTCCAAACAGCGGCACAGTGGCTCAGCAGTTAGCCCTACTGTCTCACAGCGCCAGGGACTTGGGTTCGATTCCACCATTGGGCAACTGTCCACGTGGAGTTTGCACATTCTCCCTGTGTCTGCGTGGGTTTCCTCCAGGTGCTCCGGATTCCTCCCACAGTCCAAAGATGTGCAGGTTAGGTGGATTGGCCATGGGAAATGCAGCGTTACAAGGATAGGGTGGGGGCATGGGTGGGACGCTCTTCGGAGAGTTAATGTGGACTTGATGGGCCGAATGGGCCCTGCTTCCACACTGTAGGGATTCTAGTCTATGAAATCTTTCCTTTCATGAACTTATCCAAATGTCTTTTGAACATTGTAACTGTACCCGCATCTACCACTTCCTCTGGCAGCTCATTCCACACATGAACCACTCTCTGTGGAAAACAAGTTGCTCCCCCCCGCCCCCGTCCCTTTTAAATCTTTCTCCTTTCACCTTAAAAATACTCCCCCAGTTTTGAACTCGCGCATCTTATGGAAAAGACCTTGACTATTCGTCTTATCTATGCCCCTCATGATTTTATAAAATGTTTACAAAGGTCACCCCTCAAACTCCTACACTCCAGTCAAAAAAGTCGCAGTCTATTTTCATAACTCAAACCCTCCATTCCCAAAGCTGGATCTGTTTTTTGTTACTGAGGCATTCATCACCTTGTAAGATTTTGCTGCAGTCTCCTAGACTAGTTCTTAATTACCTAAGGTGTCACACATTGCAACAATAACAAGACAAAGAATTTCATTGGCTATAACACAGTTTGGGGCATCCTGAAGCGACGAAAAGTACTGTTCAAATAAAGGATGCTATCGAAATGCAAGTCCATCAGAATCTCACAGAGCAAAAGCAAGCCATTCAGCCCCACCATGCCTGTGCTATCCCACTAGACCCATTACACCTCCCCGTTCCAAATCCTTCCTGCTTCCAAGGCTTCTTTTTAAAAACACAATTCCTCTTACAAGACAACAAGGTGCAGGGCTGGATGAACACAGCAGGCCAAGCAGCATCATAGGAGCAGAGAGGCTGACGTTTCGGGCCTAGACCCTTCATCAGAAAAAGATGATGCTACCCAGGCCATTTTGTGTGTGTTTATGTAGTGGGAGACTTGGAGTAAAATTCAGTCATTAAAACGGTTTAAAATAAGGAGAAAAAAATTAGATTGGCATTCTTACCTAGCGTTCACAAGGCATCGGGACCAGATGCAATACATCCAAGGACACTGATGGAAGTGAGAGTGGAAATTGCGGAGGGCTTGGCAATAATTTAATTCAGTTTTCCTTACACAGGAGAGTTGCAAGCATTATGTTCCTGTTCAAAAACGGTGTAAGGATTAGCTAAGCAAATACAGACTAGTCAGCTTTGATGACTGGGAAACTTCTAGAAACAGTAATTCAGGACAAATACAGATTAACTAGAGAGAGCGAGCATGGAATTACTAAGTGATGATAATATTCACTTAACTTGCTGGAGGTTTTTGAAGTGGTGCCGAAGAAGGTGATTGAGATATAAAGGGATTTTCAAAAGGCACTAGATACAGTGTGAGACAAGAGACTTGTGAGCAAAGTTAGATCATGGGATAAAAGGGATAGTAGAAACATGGATTCAAAATTGGCTGAGTGACGGGAAACAGTAACATGATTTTTGGGCTGGGTAAGGTTTGTAATTGAATTCCTCTGGGGTCAGTGTTAGGTCTTGCTTTTCCTGATATAAATAAATGATCCAGAATTTAATGTGCAATGCAGAATTTCAAAATTAGCAAGGAATACGCACCTGCAAGTGTTGTGAACTGTGAGAAGCGTGGTGTAGAAATTCAAATTGACATGAGACAACTTGGTAGATTGGGTGGATAGATTGGCAATTACATTCAATGTGAAGACATTTTGGGAATATATTTTGGTACAAAGAACTTGGAGAGGATAGACAGTAAAAATAAATAAAGGGTCTAGGCCTGAAACGTCAGCTTTCCTGCTCCTCTGATGCTGCTTGGTCTGCTGTGTTCATCCAGCTCTACACCTTGTTATCTCGGATTCTCCAGCATCTGCAGTTCCTACTATCTCCTCTTACGAATTGAGTTCCCGCACAGCAATCCGGTCTCTCTTCAATTTTAGCCCTTGAAAGCGGTCACATTAACAAACCTATCTGCAGATGTTTTAAGCGGAATGCGCCTCTCGGTTCAGGTAGTCTCCTGTATTGTTGGGTAAAAGCCAAGCCGCACTTCACTTTAGAGGGAGGTTTGCAAAAGCCGGAAGCTCTACAACAGCACTGCAGCAAAACTTACAACAGCAAGATGCACTTCTGCAAAGGTCACTGCTTCGGTGGAAACGGAAACTGCAGAGAATGAATGACAGGGTTAGGATGGAATTGAGCGTCAAGCAGTGGGAGGAGATTTTAGATCCGCTTTTAATAATTAATCCATTGCATTCTTCCCCCCGCCCCCCTCCCCACTGTATCTGGCCTGAGCCTTCCCACTGATTATAATTGCACCAAGGCTTGCGCAGAATGTCTTGAACGTCAAGCAGTGGGAGGAGATTTTGGACCAGCTTTTAATAATTAATCTACTGCATTCTTCCCTGCCCCAGTATCTGCCCTGAGCTGTCCCACTGATTATAATTGCACCGAGGGTTGTGTTCCTTTTAGAAACATTTAATGGCTAGGCATGCATTAAAGGTGAGAGTAGGAAAGTGCAAAGGAGATGTGAGGGGCAAGTTGTTTACACAGAGAGTGGTAGGAGCCTGGAGCTGTACTGCCAGGGGTGTTGGTGGAGGCAGATAGGATAGGTGTATTTAAGGGACTTTAAGATCAGCATATGAATATGCAAGTGATGGAGGGAAATTGACCAAAGGCAGGTGGAAGGGATTAGTTTAATTTGGTGTCATGTTGGGCACAACATCGTGGGCCAAAGGGCCCATTCCTGTTGTTGTACTGTCCTACGTTCTATTTGGGCTGCAACTTCCCCCAATTGCCTTGGAGTCACTGTGAATTAAACAGAAATTTCCGGTACACCCAAAACAAAACTCAGCAAAAAAAAAACCCAAACAACTGCAGACGTTAGAAATCAGAAACAAAAACAGAAATTGCTGGAAAATACTCAGCACGTCTGGCAGCATCCATGGAGAGAGCATACTTGACATTTATGGTACTATTCAATTTCTGTTTTTGTTTCAGAGAAAAAAAGTCATGCATGTGACACTAGGTAAAGGCGAGTACAGAGTGGCGACCAAGAATCATGCATTTGGATAGGGAAGGGCCTGTTTTCTGATTGATGCAGGGATGCAGCGCAAGGGAGATGAGGTTTCCAACTGGGGTTGGCAACAATTTTTGAAATCGACTTTAGGTGGCATTAATGAGAAAAATTTGAGTCAACATAAATAGCATCTATATACCTTTTTAAAGTAATAGAGCACACAATTGTTACAGTACAGGAGGCAGCTATTTGGCACATCTTGTCTGCCCCAGCTCTCCAAATAAGCATTTCACCTAATGTACCTTCTCCCCCTTTACTTGCATGTTGTTCGTTTTCGAGTAACAAGTTGCTTCCCTTTTGAATTTCTTGATTGTACCTGGCTCAAGCAAAGCAATGCATTCTCGACAGTAACCACTCACTGAGTGTAAAAGATTTTCCTCATGTCACTTTTACTTCTTTTACTAATTATTTTACAACTTTGCCCTCTAATTCTGGATTCTTTCACCAGTGGGAACATTTTTTCTTGATTGACTGTGTGGAAACCTCTCATGATCAGAAGGCGTCTGTGCACCATCTCTTCAAGGTAAACTTGGGAGTTCAGCTTCAATCTATCTTCAGAACTGATAGTCCTCATCCTAGGAATCATTCCCGTAAACGTCTTCTGCACTCTGCACAATGCCTTCACATCCTTTTCAAAGCACAGTACCTTGGACACAATATTTCGTTTGAGGCTGAAACAGGTTAAACACTACCTCCTTATTCTTGAATTCTATGCCTCTATAATGCTGTATCCTTTCTTTGCCTGTTCTGCCACATTATGCACACATACACTAAGGTCCCTGTGTCCCTGCAACCCCTTTTGAGTTGTTTTATTTATTTTTACTGTCTATCCTCTCCAAGTTCTTTGTACCAAAATGTATTCCAAAAATATCTTCACATTGAATGTAATTGCCAATCTACCAAGTTGTCTCATGTCAATTTGAATTTCTACACCACGCTTCTCACAGTTCACAACACTTGCAGGTGCGTATTCCTTGCTAATTTTGAAATTCTGCATTGCACATTAAATTCTGGATCATTTATTTATATCAGGAAAAGCAAGTCCTAACACTGACCCCAGAGGAATTCAATTACAAACCTTACCCAGCCCAAAAATCATGTTACTGTTTCCCGTCACTCAGCCAATTTTGAATCCATGTTTCTACTATCCCTTTTATCCCATGATCTAACTTTGCTCACAAGTCTCTTGTCTCACACTGTATCTAGTGCCTTTTGAAAATCCCTTCATATCTCAATCACCTTCTTCAGCACCACTTCAAAAACCTCCAGCAAGTTAGGTGAATATTATCATCACTTAGTAATTCCATGCTCGCTCTCTCTAGTTAATCTGTATTTGTCCTGAATTACTGTTTCTAGAAGTTTCCCAGTCATCAAAGCTGACTAGTCTGTATTTGCTTAGCTAATCCTTACACCGTTTTTGAACAGGAACATAATGCTTGCAACTCTCCTGTGTAAGGAAAACTGAATTAAATTATTGCCAAGCCCTCCACAATTTCCACTCTCACTTCCATCAGTGTCCTTGGATGTATTGCATCTGGTCCCGATGCCTTGTGAACGCTAGGTAAGAATGCCAATCTAATTTTTTTCTCCTTATTTTAAACCGTTTTAATGACTGAATTTTACTCCAAGTCTCCTACTACATAAACACACACACACAAAATGGCCTGGGTAGCATCATCTTCCTTGTGTTATGGACCAGACCAGACCCCTCAAAATATTTTAAAAAGGTAGCCTAGACCCTAACCTTTTCTTATTTTAAAGGCAAATGTAATGTACCATGTTCCAGATGCAATTCGACTGCTCAAACTACTCAGTGTTAAGCATAACATAATTGATTCAAACACTATGGATAAAATACAACAAATCAAAGAAGAAATTGGAATATCTTAAGGCTACTGGAAAACTTAACAGATTAATAGATTGGTTAACTACCAACAGTAACTGTTCCAATATAGTAACATCCCACAAACACACCCTTAGGCAAAGGCAAATTCACAAGCAATTCTCCAGTCCAGCAGGAAAAACATCAAGAGAAAACCGAGAGAGAGACAGAGAGAGAGAAGCAGAGCGAGATGTACTGCAGCTTCAAAGCCACAGTAACTGCTACTGAGAAACTAAAACTATAAATCCCGGCACTGGGAGCTTGACCCAACCCATTTAGGCTGCTTCTATTTTACCAACTTTAAAAAATACCTAAGGCCTCACAAGCTGTTTACTTTAGTGGCTCTGAAGGGACTACTCAGTAACTCTCTGATTTTTCATTTTAAAAAAAACCCAGGTCAAAATACACCACTTGAAAGTTGTAGTGTTGTCACATTTGGTAAGGACATATGAAAAGTGAATTTAGTACCTCAGTTACATCTCTTGCTTTCTTTGCAAATCCCCTTTCTGATCCCTAATCAGCCCCTCGGTTCACTGCTCGGTTTACCACCCCTTTATTATTTATGTACCCTGTTTGCTTCTGTCATTTGCTTTATCACCACTTCTCAGAATCTTCTATATTCAGCCTCATTCGCAATTGTATTTAATGCTTGGTATTAGTTACAAGCATGCTTCTTCTTTACTGTAATTTCTACATCTTTTGTCATTTCAGGAGCTCTGACTTGTTTGAGCTACCTTATATTAACTTTCTATTACATGCCTTAGAGGGAATATGCCTCATCTTTGAAGGTAGTCCATTGCACCACTATAGCCCTATCTGGTAACACTAGCAAAATGCCCAAAAGGAATTCAGTTCTAACTCTCTTCATGAGCAAACTATTCAGAATGTGCAGGTCGCATCTCCCGTAGAGCAGATTCGATGTCCCAAGAATCTAAGACCATCTCCCCAGGCACACATTGATCCGTCTTATCCTCCCGTTCCTGTAATCACTTGCATGCTGCATCTGGAGATAACCACTTTTGAGATGCTGCTTGCTAATTTTCTACCTGAATACTGACCAGGTACAACATGTTTCATTCTAAAGAGCTCCAACACTTTTATCACTTTTACAAACAGGCATTAAATAACACATCAAACTCACGGCAGTTTCTAGGAGCAACAAGTTTTGCTTGTTACTGGCTCAAATCAGAGGAGAAAGGAAATCACATGATGAATCCCCTGACTCAGACACCATCCACCTCATTGTGACAGTGTCTCCTATTACAGAGGGTGGTGCAGATGATGCTACCACTCCCTGTCAGTGGGGAAATGCTTTTGGTATTTTTTGTGAATTGTTTGGAAGAATATAAAACAAAAGTCTTCTGCAAAACATGTGATCTTTTAGATACAAAGATGTTGGAGGAAATGATTGATGATCAGCTATTATCTGTTTCAATGGTTGAGCAGGCTCATTGGGTCAAATGGCCTATTCCTTCTCCCATTCCCATTCTTACGTTTAAAGGTAATTAGCAGTTGAGCTAATATTGCGGATCATATATACTTGAAGTGACATTCATTCATGTTACATGCCAGGGAAAACATTCTATCCACTGTCACAATCTGCAATAATTCTAAAAGTTTCAACAAGATAATTTCTGGTTGTTTTGAGTGACTGTAGAATCCAGCTTCCTTAATCTTTCGCTAAGACACTCCCACTATCCCAGGGATTAGTCTGGTAAACGACTGTTGCACTTGCTGTGTGAAAAATGTTGAGCGTAAATATTAGCACAATCAAGGTTTTTCAGCAAGTGCTGTCCATTTACAGAACTGCATCTCATGATAGGCCATATGTCCTAATGATTGGCTGACCAAATCAAACACAATAGGCAAAAATCAGGCCATATTCAATCAACCTGCATAATTTTAAAATTACTCAGGAGATTAGGGAATTTATCATTTTCCATTGCTTTCTCTATGGCAACACCTTGTCAATCAGTCAACTTACCAACCAATCAACATCCTTTCCTCCAGTTGTACAAATAATGTAATTTGAAATTTAGTATTTCTCATTTGTCACAAGTGTAAGACAAAAAGCTTCAACGTTGAAATTATTATAGGTTTTACATCACCTGGACATATTTTCTCCATTGTTACCTCTAGTCTTCACGATTGCAATACATTCCATCCTCTGTAAGCTTGAGTTCATTCAAGATTCCACTGCTCACACCAGATCCTATTCAGCCATAGCCCCCTTTGCTCAATGACCTACATTGGCTCAGAGACTGGTAAATCTTTGGTTCTAAAATTCTCATCCTCATTTCCAAATTCCCCCAGAACGTGCCCTCTTTCCTGACCTTTGCAATCTCCTCCAGTCCCACAAATCTGAGGCCTTTGCAGTCCTCCAATTCCGGTCCCTTCAAAATCGCAGATTTCAATCGCGCCCACATTGTTGGCAGTGCTTTTCTGGAATACCCTTCCTAAACCTCTTCACTTCTTTCCACATTCATCTATTTGTGCAGGGGTGGCTAAATATCTAATGTCAGCGTTCACAAGTAACTGGTCCTCACACCAGTGAAAATTTTCAAAGCAATTTTTATCTTAACTTTCGGGAGCTGGTAGGGTAACAATATTACAAACTCCTTGACAGTTATATTTTTACCATTAATCATAGTTTTAGGGTATTGGGTGGGAGATTCAGAGGAGATTTGAGAAAAATCTTTTTCACTCTGAGGGTAGTGGGAATCTGGAATGCACTGCTTGATAAGGTAGGGGAGGCTGGAAACCTTACAATATTTCAAAACAAAAAACTGTATGAGCACTTGAAATAAAACATTCAAGGATATGGGACAAGTGCAAGAAAGTGGGATTAGTGCACCTTTAAATGGTAATTATGTCAGTGCAGACTCGATGGGCTGGAGCACCTTTTCTGCGCTGTAAGATGCTACGGTGTAATATTTTACCATTTTGTCCTTGCTGCATTGCTGTACGACTACAAAACTAACAAAAGGGAAAACTTTCACAACCATATACTAACTGGAACGACTGAATTGTCAGATATCAACGTCGCAATCAGACTCAATCTGCTGCAAATTACTCATGTCTCTTGACTGCGTCAGAGAACACGTCACACACATTAAAGAAGTCTTTATGGTTAGAAAAAGATTTCGATAGAGGAGTTGCAGGTATGTCTCCAAGGAGATCAAGGCTGAGCCATAAATAGAAGGTAGTTCTGCTAAGTCCAGCAAGACATTCAGGGGAAAAAGAAAACTTACTTTAACAGCAGATGGTGGAAATGTGGAACTTGGAATGGCCTAGGATGAATAGCAGTGTTGAGGGAAAGTCATATAACAATAGAAAGGAAAAGGTTACAGAGATAACAACATGCTAAACTAGTAGTAGTGGAAGGCTCACGTAGAGCGTTTGCATGGGCCAGCTAGACCAAATGGCCTGTTTTTATTCTGTAAATTCTATGTAACTTTAATAACGTGATCTACTATTACATTCCAGTCATACATGAGGTAAACAGTTAGACTTAATATTTATCATATTACAAACATTTAATGGATAGTAAAAGCATATTTTAATATATACAATTCAAAACATGCCACTGATGTATCCCATTGGGCAATTAAGTTTCCATATAAACTCACTATTTGCTTAAATGTTTGCTCTAATTCCCAAGGTGATCCAAAATGAAGGCACATTCAGAAACAATGCAAAACACTTCAATATAAATTGAAAAGTTTTAATATTTTCTCTCAGTATCTTCCACTTGCAGATGGATCGTGCATTGATTTCTCCTCGTCTCTCATCAATGTTCATGCAAGAAACGGTTCAAACTGGGAAAACTAAACAGAAGTCAGTTGCTCCCTACTCTCCCCTGTCACAAATGACATTCAATATGGGCCCCAACTAAAGTTGACCAGAGTGTTTTCTATATATTGAGAAACCAGGAACTGTGAAGGAAGAGAGTTATTTATGGTCCAAGGACATAAATCACAAAATACTAGTGGACAGATGCAACAACAAAAACAAAATCAATGGAACACTGGCCATTAATCTCAAATCTGGAATACAATGCTACAGTTGTATAAAGCTTTGGCCAGATTCAAGTTAGAACATCTCAATCAGTTTTCTGGGCACTGCACTTCAGAAAGGATATACTGGCCCTTGGAGGATGTGCAGCACAGATTCACCAGAATGACTACAAGGATCAAATAAGGAATTCTGCATTGACCGAGAAGTTAGTTTACAAGATTTAGGACTGGTCTAATGGATATGTTTAAGATAACTAAAGGAATCTGAAGGGCAGAGAGAGGGGTAAAACTTTTCTCCTGTGGCGACAGTAGAACCTTGAAATTAAGGTCAGGCTATTCAGGTGTGATGTCAGGAGGCACCTCTTCACTCAAAGAGTAGAAGAAATCAGGAGCAATCCACCCCAAAAAGCATTTGAGGTTGGGGTCAGTTGCAAGTTTAAAAATGGAGATTGAAAGATTTGTTTTTGATAAGTGTTAGGATCACAAACTAAGATGGGTAGATGACTAAGATCTGTCATGATTTAGCTGAAAGACAGAATAGGTTTAAGGATTTGAATAAAAACATGAGGACTAGTACCAGATGTAAGCTATTCAGTCACTGGAGACTGCTCCGTCATTCAATGAGATCATGGCTAATCCTCTACTTCAAAACTATTTTCCTGCACTGTTCCCCTTGACATTTTAATACATAGAAATCCATCAACCTCAGTCTCAAATCTACTCAATGCTGAATCAGCACAGCCCCCAGGCTCGAGAATTCTAAAGATACACCACCCTTTGGGTGCAGAAGTTCAATATCTGACCAACCATCGATCATTCCCACCCCCACCATGCCCCTAACTACGGCCAACACTTTTCCTCGGCTGGCCTGTAAGAATTTTGTATGTTGTAATGAGATCACGTCATTCTTTAAAACAACTCTCTGTATTTTACCTCTTGCACATCTGGGTCCAAAAACACATCATTCTATCACTTGTGATACTGGATCCAAGGGTTTACTATCAGATTTGGGCAACGACATCCTAATTATGATGAAAGAAGTGAGACTTTTTTTTAAAAAAAGTGTTTGCATATCAAAGTAGTGGCAAATGGGTATTGGTCTATTTTTGTGAAGAGATTTAAAAATTAACTAGGTCAGTCTTTCTAGAACCACTGCTTTAATTCAGTCTATACCTCCCGGAGAGTTAATGGATGCTTGTTTATACTGTGGAGGTTTACAACCAGAGTGAAAAAAAACATAACTTTGCAGAAGCAACATTTTTCTTCATTTAGTTCAAAAACTTTTGGGAAGTTCAAGGAGATCTGACTGGAGTCAGATGCAAGTATAGCCTCTCTTAGAAAATGCAATTGTTAAAGCCAATTAACTGAATATGGTACCTGAGTGCAAGAGTTTAATTTATGAAACCTCTAGACCACTAGTTATTCAAAGCTGGGGAAGTCCAAAGTGATGAGAGTTTTCAAGGAAAAGGAGTTGTAGCTCACAGGACCAGAACTGAGAAAAAACAGTGAAGTAAAAACCTACAGATTTGATAGAAAAAAAATGGAAATTTATCTTTATTTGGATTTACTGTAAAGTATTGGGATCATAATATCAGTTCCAATACTCACACAGCCTGTTATGTTTGGAATTGGATTAGATTTTTCAAGACAGTGTACTAGTGCAAATGGCTACAAGTGCTGAGATTGTTGTAACATTTAAGACAGAATTCAGTGAACTTTTGAAGGCGGCATTATACAGGGAAACTGTAGACATGGAACTAGGACTTTCACGGTACAAACATGATGTACAAGTGGCTTGTGCTGAGATTTGTGTGCAAATTTATTTCAATAGTGTTGGAGTTAACCATTTTCTGATAGAGAGATCCTGTAAGTTCAGTTATCTTTCAACCTTCTCCCATCAATGCTGGCCTTTCTTGACTTGTTCAAGTTTTTTCTTCAGCAAGTTGTAGTTCTCCACAATCCCCGGAGAGGTTGGATCAAGCTTCAGAGCGAGCTTGTATTCTTTATCAGCTAGATCGAGTCTCCCCCAGCGATGGTAAAGTACAGCTGCAGGAGAAGGACAAACTTATTATCCAAACAATGGTTGAAGGTTATCTGGTATCATAGAATAGAGAACTACAAATTAATTGCAGAAGCTGAGCTTGTTCTCCTGAGAGCTGGGAACAACAAGAGGAGGTTTAATACAATTGTCCAAAAGTATAGAGTTTAGATAGCAATCAAGAAGAAATTATTTTCCTATTAGATGTGTCCATAACAGACGGCACAGATTTAACACATATAGGAAAACATCCAAGGGAATATGGAGAATTTTATTTCAGAGTCGTTACAATCTGAAATTCACTGCCTAAAAAAGAGCAGGTTCAATGGTAAACTTCAGAAGGAAAATGACTTTGCAGGGCTATGGGGTGAGAGCAAGGGTTTGTGTCAAAGTGGGATGAATGGAACTGCTCTTTCAAAGAGCTGGCAAAGGCACAATGGACTAAATGGCCTCCTAATGCATTTATGATTCAGTTCGAGCTGCACATGCGATTACACTTCAGGAATACTACTGGATAAACATAAAGAGAGCTTTATCGTGTACTCAGCATATTTATATCAGTGTTCAAAATAGCATTTTGGATGCAGAGTGAATCTAACGCAAATCACCCTGAGATATTAATTCGGGGATGCAACCAATCAAGGAAAAGCTGGCTGCAATGGCTCTGGGGGAGAACAGGACCAGGACCAGGACCAGGACCAGGGCCGGGAGTGGGGGAGGGTGGTGGAGGTGGTGTGTGAAGGTACCACAAATGATTTGAGGGATGTCAGGGTCTGCAAGGCCTGAGAGAGAGTGTGAGACAGAGTGTGTGAGAGAGAGAGACAGCCAGCGAGCGAGAGGAGAGAGAGAGAGAGAGAGACACACACACAAAGGTTTCATTGGGACTGGAAACAAGAAGATGGCTTCAAGGAGGGTGGAAGGGACAAAAAGGTGCATAGAACAAGTTCCAAACTGGTTAACAAAGTAGCACTCAGCAAACTAGGAGCCAGGAAAATTTAAAAATCACTAAGGTAATGAATCACTTGTAAATGAATTCTGCATCTTTCACTACAATTTGCATGCATTCACGAGCTACTCTTTGGGGAAGGTTGTAGCGGATACTATTGCAATGTATACAATATCAATCGTTAAATTTAATTCTGAGATACAGTAAAAATTGTAGTATCTGCATGTTTAAAATATTTCAGCTTTGTGAAAGTGCGATGGAAGTGACATCACCCACTTGCAAAGGTGTATTAAGCATGATGCCTTTTGGTGCACAGAAGCATGTCTTATATTTAAATTATACCCATATACGATAAAAATGATACATTTTGAAAAAAAAAATCTTATACTAGTTTAAGCCTGTTGTGTTGTGCCAATGTAAAAACTGTGGTAATTAAAAAACTAATGCTTTCTTTGTGAACTGTGATTTAAGTTTATTGGAATTGATCACTATTAAAGGATATTGAAGAATTCTTCCAATTCTTTTTCTATGTGACAACCTTATGTGTCAACACAGATACAGTAGGTAATGTGACTGCATCACCTAATAAAGGAGTTAATGTGAATGAAAAGTATTAGCCCTGCAAATCAAAATGCATCCCCAAAATTAAAGAAAGCCCTCAAGGGAACCCCTCAAAAAGATTCTGCCATGACCCATACATAGCTGTTCAATATTAATGACAGTTATTGCTCTATCACTCTACAGATATATACTTGAGGTTTCAGTTAAATGGAAATGCCATTTTCCCCATTCAAAAATCAACTTATGGTTAGGTTAGACAGCATGGCCTTCTGATCATCTTTGACAATATGAATGTGAAGTGGTATGGGACATTTACTGTTATGGATGATTTTAAAATGTATGGTGTTTTGCAATGATTCCTTGTGGAAGGAAGAATGTAGTGAGAATACAAAATAAAATGTAGAATACTAAAGGGGTTGCAAGAGCAGAGGGATCTGCTTGAATGTAAATATAAATCATTGAGGTTTGCAGGACAAGTTAAGAGGGCAGTTAATAAAGCATCAGACATCCTGGGCTTTATTCATAGGAACACTAAATATTAAAGCAGTGAGTTATGTTGAACTTGGATAGAATATGGGTTTGGTATCAATTAGAATATTGTGTCCAATCCTGGGTGCAACATTTTAGTAAGGATGTGAAGGCGTTGGAGAGACAGCAGAAAACATTCATGAGAAAGGTTATAGGGATGAGGAATTTTAGTTTCATAGATTGACTGAAGAACTGGAGCCTGTTTTTCTTGTGGAAAGTTATTCAAAAACATGGAAGAATTTGGACAGAGCAGGTAGAGAAAAACATTCCCATTGGTGACTGGATAGAGAACCGGAGGACACAGATCTAAGGTAAATGGCAAGAGAAACAATGGGGCATAAGGGAAAGCACTGTCCTGCAAGATCTGGAATACACTGCCTGACAGTGTGGTGGAAGTAAGTTCAATTGAGGCATTCAAAAAGGATTATTATCTGCAAACATATGCAGAGAAGGCAGAGCAATAGCATTAAGTGAAATGCCTCTTTAGAGAGAGACACACAATCAGCCAAATGAGATCCTCCTGTGCTATAATAATTGTGAACCTGCCTTTCTACAGCACTTATAATGAACACCCAAACCAGTTCACAAGAGACAGCTCAAACAAAATTTGATAATGAGTTATATAAGGAAGTATCAGGGCAGGTGACCTGACTCAATCAGAAAGGTAGGTTTTATGCAGCATCTTAAAGGGGGAGAAAGGGGGAAGAGATTATAAGAAGCAAAGTCTGGAACTTGGGCTCCAGATACATGAAGGCACAGCTGCCAACAGTAGAACAATGAAAATCAGGGATGCACAAGAAGCTAGAATTGGAGAATTGGGGGATGTAAAAACCAGAACAGGGATTGTGATATTGACATATTGTTAAACTAGGGGACAATGAAGGTCATGTATGTTCAGGACTTGGGCATAAGTTAGGATTGTGACCACATGGTTCTTAATAGGTACAAGGAAACAACATTGACCTACTTTGGTACTAGCTGTTCTACAGGACACACTGTAAAATCTTCATTCTAAAATCTATTTGCTTTCAGAGAATTTGTATTTCCAAATGTGGATCTGTATGAATTAACATTTAGACTTACAATAACAATTAGCATTTTAGCTATCTTTGCAGTAATTGCAAGGAATGTTAGAGAAATTTAATCACAGGTATGAACAGGCAAAATACAGTAATCTCCAACAGGAAGACAGGGAAGGTATATAGCGCTGCAACAAATAATTTGAAGATCTTCAAAGCTTTAGTCGTTTCAAAATGACACCTACCTAAATTTCCATGATAGCTTGCTATGGTAGGATTAATCTGTAGTGCTTTTAGAAACAGATTTTCAGATTCCTGTGCATATAAAAGTAGTTCACAGTTTACATGAGCTTACAAGTAAACCATTAACATTATTAATATAAACAAACAAAAAACAGAATAAGAACCTTGATCAAATAATTCATCAAGAATAAAGTTAAAGTGACATCCTGACATTATGGTAGGTTTGCTGCTTCCACGTGTTAAATATCTGGTGGCACTCATGCATCTGAGTCAGAAAGCTGTGGGTTCATTCTTATATTGCTGTGTTTGTGGGAGCTTGCTATACCAGAAGTGGGGGTCCAGTTTCCTACAACAGTAACTGCAATTCTAGAGTTCGTCGTTGACCATGAAGCACTTGGGGAATTCGCAAGCAAGCCAAGAACATACGAACATATGAATCAGGAACAGGAGGCCATTCAACCCCTCAAGCCTGCTCCACCATTCAACAAGATTATGGCTGAAAATACACTGCTAGTTTCTTATAGATGTATCTCTAGGCATTCACATAGGGGTATAAGATGTCACATTTCTGCTAACTCCACCATTCACTAAGATCATAGTTGATTTGACTATTCCACATTCCCACCTACTCTCAATAACCTTCCAACCCTTTCTCATCAAGAATCTACCTACAGAATACAAGTATTTCTCCTATAATGCGATAGTTGCATTCTTGTGTGACCTCGTGCTATAGAAAATTACGTTAAAGGGAAATCGCTAAAGTGAAAAAAAATTGCTATACCTCTACAGCAAAAAGTTTGCTTTATCCAAACAGCGCCCACTATTCATCAATCGCGTTACAGCCAATTTGCGTTAACGAAACATATGATATAGCAGAAATACCTGTATTTATAGATTCTGGTTCCATGGCCTTTTGAGAAAGCAAAAAGCGTTCCAAAGATACTTAACTCTCAAAAAAATTTCTCATCTGCCTTAAATGGGGAATCATATCTTTAAACAGCAAATTGTAGTTCTAAATTCTACTTTCCATTTCCTCTCTGTTAAGCCTCCTCAAGATCTTATATGTTTCAATCAAGTTTTCTAAACGCAGCTGGTATAAAGATAACCTGTCCAACTTTTCTTCAAAAGACAACCCACCCTATCCAGGTATAAGGCCATAATATGTAAGAGTAGAAGCAGTCTGCTTCACCATTAAATGAGGTCATAGCTGAATTGATAATTCTCAACTTCACTTTCCTTCCTTTTCTCCATAACTCTTCATTCCTTTATTGATTAAAAATCTATTTTAGCCTTGTATATATTTAATGACCTAGCCTCAACAGGTCTCTGTGGTAAAGAATTCCACAGATTCATTAACCTCATTGAAGGTATTCCTCCTTATCTCGGTCCTGACGGGGTGATCCCTTATTCTGTGGTTATGCCCTCCTCTTGTACTCCAAGATCATCTCCGTTGAGGAGACGTCCTTAATCCTGGCACCAGCAGGCAACACTGTCTTCGGAACTCCCGTTCACAGCTACAGAGAACACTAACTATCACCCTACTTTCTCTGCCCACTTGAATGCATCCCAGTACAAGTGATGTGGTCATGTTTGCTCATCCTTCCCGAAGTCCCCATTCTTGTCTGCACAACTTATAAGAACTTTGTAACTGTTGGACAATTACATTGAACCCCCTAGGTCCCCATACTTACCTCATCCTCCTGTCCCTGATCACAGAGCAAACTTGAATTATATAGTCTGAGAAGTGTTGCTCTGCCTTCTGGAACAGTGTCCAGGCATTATAGAGTCACGGAGCCATACAGCATGGAAACAGACCCTTCAGTCCAACTTGTCTATGCCGACCAGATATCCTAAATTAATCTAATCCCATTTGCCAGCATTTGGCCCATATCCCTCTAAATCCTTCCTATTTATATACCCATCCAGATACCTTTTAAATGTTGTAATTGTACCTGCCTCCACCACTTCCTCTGGTAGCTCATTCCATATACGCACCATCATCTGCACGGAAAAGTTGCCCCTTAGGTCTCTTTTAAATCTTTCACCTCTCACCTTAAACCTACGCCCTCTAGTTTTGGACTCCTCCACCCTGGGAAAAAGACCTTGGCTATTCACCTTATCCATGCTCCTCATGATTTTATAAACCTCTTCAAGATCACCCCTCAGCCTCCAGTGCTCCAAGGGAACTTCCTTGTAAATCTTTTCTGAATCCTTTCAAGTTTCACTACATCCTTCCTATAGCTGAGAACAGAATTGCAAGCCGTATTGAAAAGCAGCCTAATCAATGTCCTGTGCAGCCACAACATGGGCCCTCCAACTCCTGTGCTCAATGCAGTGACCAACAGAGGTAAGCATACTAAACGTCTTCTTCACTATCTTGTCTACCTGGGACTCCACTTTTAAAGGAACTATGAACCTGCACTCCAAGGTCTCTCTGTTCAGCAGCACTCCCCAGGATCGTACCACTAAGTGTACAAGTCCTGCCCTGATTTGTCTCACCAAAATGCAGCACCTCACATTCATCTAAATTAAACTCCATCTGCTGCTCTTCAGCATTAGGCTAATAAATCTCCTCTGAAGTACTTAGAGAGCATTTACTTCCTTCCTTAAGTGAAGGAGACCAATACTGAAAAGAGTACCACGGATGTAGTGCCATCAGTACTCTGTGTAGCTGATAAACTGAAACATTCCAACCCTACTTTTGGATTCAATTTGCTTTGCAACAAACAATAACGCTCTATTTGCTTTCCTAACTGATTGACATGCCTGCAATCTAATCTTCTGCGTTTTATACACTAGGACATTGAGATTCTCTTATTATTCACTTCACAACTTCCGTTCCTATTGATCTATGCATGAGCAGGTAATCTAGCAACCATATCTTCAATCATTTCATCCAATTAGTTTCATACAATAGTCATTGTACTAACTTTTGAGAATACAGCATTGATCCCTAAGGCACATCACTTGTCACATCTTGCTAATCAGAAAATGATGCATTTATGATTAATCTCCATTTCCTATTCGGTAGTTAATCTTCAATCCATGTAAATGTTACCCCTTACACCAAGGCCTTTTATTTTCTGCAATAACCTTTGATGTGGCACCTTATGAAATGCCTTCATGGAAATCTAAGTACACTAATTATCCACTGGCTCTCCTTTATCCACAGCACATGTTACTTCTTCAAAGAACTCCAATAAATTGTTTAACCACAGTTTCATTAAACTATGTTGATTCTGCTTCATTACTGTGAACTTTTCTAAATGCCCTGCTGTAATATCCTTAATAATAGTTTCTAACACCTGACCTTTGTCTGATATTAAGCTTTTTGCTTCCTACTTTTGTTGTCCTGAACAGAAGAAGAAGTACATTTGTAATCTTCCAATTGACAGGAACCTTAGCTGAATCTTGGAAAATTAAAAATAACACCAATATCTCACTAGCCACTTTTAAGCATCTAGAATTAAATCCATCAGGATCAGGGTCCTTGTCACCTCACAGCTCCAACAATTTATTCAGTAGAACTTCTCCAGTGATTGTTACTTTCCTGAGTTACTCCATTTACTGATTTACAGCTATTTCTGGGATGTTAATTGTATCATCTATATTGAAGACCATTGTAAAATATCTGTTCGATTCATCTGCCATTGCCTTATTTTCCATTATTAATTCCCAAGATTTACTTTCTATTCGGCCAACATTCACTTTGTTCACCTTTTTAAAATTATCGATGTAAACTCTTACTATCTGATTTTACACTTCTTGCTAGCTTTCTCTTCTACTATGATTTTTCCATCCTTGTTAATTTTAGTCATTCTTTGCTGTTTTTTCATATCCTGGCCGATCATCTGATCTGCTACCCATCCTTGTGAAAAGATATGCTTTTTGTTTTAAGTTGATACTATTTAACCTTTTTTACATTCCAAAATATTTTCTTAAACGTCTGACACTGCATCTCTATTGACCTACCCCTAACCTAATTTGCTTCTTCACTTTAGTTAGCTTTGCTTTCATGTCCTCATAATTGCCCTTATTAAATGTTTAACATTTTAAATTTGGATCTACTCTGTTCTAGTTGAAAATGCATTTAAAATTCAATAGTATTATTATTGCTGCTACCGAGGGCACCTTCACTTTAAAATCATTAATTCTCTTGGTTGCACACAGTAAGTAACTTTGAACTGTAATCATTGTTATAATGTCAGAAACTTGACAGCCAATTTACACACAGGAATATAGCATTGAAACGTGATAATGACCAGATGATTTGTTTTGGCAGTTGAGGGTTTAATATTGGTCAGGACACTGGGGAGAACTTGCCTACACTTCTGAAATGGTGTCTCTTCAACCATGCAGCACTTGACCAGTATTACACTGGGAGTGCCAACCTGGATTTTGACTCCAGATTAGAGCTTGAAACCAGAACTGTCTAACTCAGGTGCAAGTGTGCACCCATGGAACCACAGCATACACTGTTCAAAACAAGACTATTTCTCACCAGTCACGTTTCACTCAACTGAACGATTTAACATCCCAAGCTGGACAACTATTGCCAATTGCGTTAGCAAACAGTGACTTCTGCGCAAAAAAAATCAAGACATCATTTTGTTCATGATTATTGGACTGAATTTTAAGATTTTTCATCTTGTAGCTCCACTTATTTGATGGCTTGAAAACAGAATAAAAAGTACCTTACTTTACATGCACAATTATGTGGGTCTTACATATACTTTAAAAAATAAACCTGTATGAAATTTGCAACTTGTACCAACTCACCTTGTATTTTTTCAATTTACCGAGCACATTTGCAAATGAAAACATGATTGTATGATCATTGGGTAGTAATTTTAGAGCTTCTTTTCCAACTGCTTCAGCTTGTGCTAAATTACCTAGTTAATAAAACAGCACTCATTTTAGATATTAAAACAACACAGTCATTTGGAGCAGTTCTGACTATGGTACAGTTTCTGCTCACTTGCACTGGTTTCTTCGCAGTGAAATTCACTCAAAATCAGTGTCACTGCCAGAAAGAAACTGTAGAATTTTAGAAGTCAAATATATTACACACAATTCAAACTTCCACAATCTTCAGCATTGGTTTGAAAAAATATCTAGCCATGCTCTTTTGGTGAATTGTCAGGACAAGTTTCTGCCAATTTTGGGCATTTGAGGAGGCTCCAAAAGCTAAACGGAATCTTTTTATGCTGAACTAATAAAGAACATTAGGAAAACTTTTGAATGAATGTTTTATTAAATTTACAAAGGAGCTGATTACTGTATCCAATCTAACTAGATAATGGTTCTGACTAATTGCTAAATCAACTTAGCAAATTAAAATTAGGTTACACTCAGGTGGTGGATATTACAGATTTAATGTGTTTTTTTCGCGATAAACACATTTCAGTCAAACTGCATCAGGTTACTACTCTAGAATATATCCAGGACTTTTTTTAAAAAATAAATTTAGTTTTAATTTTGCTTTTTAAAATGTTGCCTGGTTGTGCTGGATTATGGTTGATTTTGCATTTACCAAGATATAAATAAGTTTCAGAGAAAACTTCAGGGGGGAGAAAAACTTCTCAAAACAGGCAGAATGTGTGACTGGATTGCTCAGTGCACCCAAAGCAGAAACTCCACCCTTCGTAGTTACATGCAGTTTACAGCATCTAGATTAAGATTCTGCATAACAACAGTGTACATCTTGAAAATTCTTAATTTTGAATTTTTAGCAAATTCATTTGGTAACATATTATTTTTCCATTTTAACTATTTTTTTAATATTATGCTTGCTTGATGGTGCCCTTCTCCCAAAGTAGTGTTCAATGTTATTAAGTGCCTTGAACAACAAGAAGAAGCAATTTTCACTAGCAAGAGGATCAGTAAACAAAGGACGAAGACTTAAGGTAATTGGCAACAAAAAGCCAGGGGGATTAGGAGGACTGGTTTTATGCAGCAAACGGAATGTTGATCTGGAATGCACTTCCTGAAACTGTGGTAGAAAGATATTCAATTATAACTTCCAAAAGGAAATTGGTTATACCCCTAAAAAGGAACACAATTACAGGGCTCTTAGGAAAGAGCAAGGAGACTGGGATAAATTGGAAACGCTTTTAAAGAGCTGTTTCAGGTACAATGGGTGAAAGGTCATCCTTAAATTACATTTTATAATAGAACAATATGCCTGCATTGCGGAAATCATAAGCCTTCCTTACTATTCCAGTACATTTGATGTAGGCAATGGCCGAAAAGGTGGAAATGAAATGAATAGAGCAGCAATGCTCCAAATTATGCACTCTCTCTCTCTCAAAAAAATCACCATTACCTCATTGTCATTTTTGGGATCTGGTTGTCTGAAAATTGGCCACCATATTTCCTTCATTATAACAGTAACCAGACTTCAAAAATACTTTGAGACAACAAGGTGTTAAGCTGGATGAACACGGCAGGCCAAGCAGCATCATAGGAGCAGGAAGGCTAACGTTTCGGGCCTAGACCCTTCATCAGAAATGGGGGAGGGGGTTCTGAAATAAATAGGGAGAGAGGGGGAGGCGGATAGAAGATAGATAGAGGAGAAGATAGGTGGAGAGGAAACAGACAGGTCAAAGAGGCGGGGATGGAGCCAGTAAAGGTGAGTGTAGGTAGGGAGGTAGGTCAGTCCAGGGAGGATGGACAGGTCAAGGGGGCGGGATGAGGTTGGTCGGTAGGAGATGGGGG